ATCCGGCAAGAAGGCCAAGTGTGAGGGTGAAACTGTTTGTTGATAAGTGAGTAGAGGTGGTGGAGGTTTTCTTCACGATGCTTCAATTTTCAGTGAAGGCAGATGGAAACAAGATCATCAGTGGAAAATGGGGATGGATAAATAGATGTTAGGAGAGTTGAAGAGAGAAAAAGATGCAAAAAAGGCATCTAGGAGAGTGAGAGAGTGAATGAAAAAGTTAGTATAATGATGGAGAAGCATTAAGAGTATGCTGGAGGTTTCTGATCATGAATTTGAAGTTACATCAGTCAGCGTGGTTGTGTATTTTTCTCTAAACAAGTTCAACTGCATGGTATAGGAAAAGAGAAGGTGGAGAGTTGGGTTTAATGAGGGTTATGATAAAAAGCAAGTGTCACAGAGTGGTGAAGCAAGAGAGAAGCAGGACAGGCGTCAAGGGTGTATGCAAGGCAGTTATAGTGATTGACCGTGGTATTTATTGAAGCTGAGTACAGCTATGCCACAGATATATTGCTTAAAGAATGGATCAGTGTCAACTAAGAGAGATCTAATTGCATTTCACTGGCATCCATCTTTCACTCTGCCTTGAAAGCTGTACAATAAAAATTACATTAGGATAAATAAATTATAGAGTCATGGTTATAAAAATAAAAACCAACAAATATTTACTGAGTATATCTCTATCCTGGAAATCATCCCATAAGTACAATGCAGAAGCTGATACAGATGTATCAGAAAACCATGAAATGTATCATGTACCAGGAAATAAATTCAAGCTCGAGGATGGAATCACCATATAAATCATGTCTTTAGTGTGTGTTTGTGTACCATGTGGGAAAGTGACGATTTTATATCTACTATTATTAGATACTTAGAGGTACTGTCGTAGAGCCCAGAATTATAGAAATTAGGACATAATACATTTATGAAGGACATAATACTATTAATTTTTTTCTACCCAAAGTAATTTCTTCTTTTCCATTTTACATATATTGCTATGCTTTTTTACTGTTATTGCTATCATCAATCTTTATTTAATTAATCTTTATTGAGTACACATTATAAAAAATATACTTTCCTATAGACTGTGAAGGTTATTAAAATGAATCAGTCATGGTCCCTACCCTTACAGCACTTACAGTCTAGTGTTGAAATCAGAGCTATTCACACGTGTCTAAAAAAAAAAAATGAGAAGAACGTATAGTTACAGAGAAGTTAAAAAATGGTTAAGAAGCCATCTGAGAGATTATAGCAGTTTCTTAACAACCCGACGTGTTTACCATACAACCATTAATGTACTCTAGACCATTAATCTCAGAGAAATGAACACAAAAACCTACACATCTACACATAAATGTTATAGTAGTTTTATTCATAATAGGCAAAAGCTTAAACAACTTAAATGCACTTCAATGGGTGAATGCATAAACAGACTGTGATATATACATGCCATGAAATACTATGCAGCATTAAAAAAGAATGAACTATTGACACGCAAGACTTGGAAAAGCCAACCTACAAAGGTTACATACTGTATGATTTCCTTTATATACCATTCTTGAATTGACAAAATTATAAAGATATAGAATAGATTAGTGGTTATCAGGGGTTAGAGACTAGGGAAAAAGGTAGGGAGGGAGTCAGGTGATTGTGAATAGCGTGAGGGGTTGTTATGATCAAACTATTGTGTACCTAGTGGTGGTTACACAAATCCACATATGTGGTAAAATTACATAGAACTAAATAACACATACAGACATAATTGCATTGTATGTTTTTATAACTAGTAAAATATGAATAAGGTTGGTGAATTGTTTCGACATCAACTTTCATGTTGTGATATTTTACTATAGCTACGCAAATTGTTACCATTGAAGGAGTATTTGAGATCTTGCTCCTAGCATATATCATTAATTTGACTCAAATAAATTCATATATTAAAAAAAAAAAAGATCTTTATTCTGGAAACCAGATAAAGAATACACAGGATCTCTCTGTATTATATTTTACAGCTCTATGTGAATCTATGATTATCTGAAAATAAAAAAGTTTTTTTTAAATGTTAATGAATTTCAGAAAAGATAAAGTTTTCCTTGACTTTATTTACTTGAGGGAGTCAAGGAAGTCATCATGGAAGAGGCATCATTTGAACTAGATTATAGATCTTGATATAATTCAATCACTCTATGGTTAATACAGTTTGTCGCTTTCAAAAATTGAAATAAAAAATTAGAATCACTGTCAGAGAAGAACTTGACAATATGTTTTGGAATGATCTCAATAAAAGTTATTTTGGAGCAGCAAAATTAAACAAGAAACCAGTTGGTCTAATTATCTCTTCATTTTAAAAATATTTATTCAGACTATTGTAGTCAAGTAGCAATTATGCAAAACAAGACTGCAGTTTCATTACAACAGTTATAATAGTATCATTTCTCAAGCACCTACTATTTCCAAGAACTTTGCTAAGCACTTTCAAATATTGTCTCATCTTAATCCCTAAATAGTCATTTGAGGTAAATAATAGTAAGAGTTTAAATAACTGGCTTTAGTCACACAATTAGTGTAAAAACTGACATTATTCCTTAAAATCAATGTGTAAACAATAATAAAGCTATGTTTTCTGCATAATACTGAAATAAAAGAGTTCAACAACATTTAATTAAAGACTATTATTAGATATTGAACACTTTACTAGGTGCCGTGGGAAGAGACATAAAAATATGGAAGAGGACCACCTGCCCTCTTGTACAATTAACAAATATTATTTGTCATGACTTAACTTTATCCAATGAATTGGTTAAAACAGATATGTCCAAGCACGCTGAAATCATTTAAATGTTATCTTTCAGAAGAAGTTACCATTTCAAAAATGTGATACTGTATTACCTATTTCTCTGTGCACGTTAAGTGTGAACTTTTACTCATATTTTCACTGTACCCAACCTGTTTCTCAAATCTTTTGTAAAAAATAAAAATAAAAAATATTTCTCTGAGGAATATGATGCCACTGTGAAACTAAACTTCTAAAATTTGTCAGTTTAAATCTCAAGTTTGCTTACAGAGGAAATTCCTCATGTCTCATTAATAAATTTTATTTTAGTTTGGAAATTCAGCTCCAGGAATCTGGAAAATACTAATCATAATGCCAGTTTACATGGGTTAATTTTTAAATACCTTTTCAAAAATGAATTGTATTTTTTTGGTTTTACAAGACCCTACTATAGAACTTCTATTACAGTTTTCATTATTGCTTTGAGGATCCAGACATTTCTTCTCTGTATCTGCCTGCAGCTTGTGGATGCCACCTAGAGGTAAGACTGCAGAATATACTGAAAAAGGGGAACCAATTTTTAACAGAACACAGCGTAATTTAGTTTGAAACGTACTTAAATCTTTGCTTAAAATTCATTACTTCCTCAATTTTGTTTTTTCTCAAAATATTTTATTATATGGAACAAAAGTAGTTTCTGCAAAATATTTAACACTTAATTCAAGTCAGTTTTCATGTGTTACTTTAACCAAATGCCTAAATTTTATCAATTCATATGCCAATGTTATTCAGGTCAATAAAAGTCAAAATGTTCCTATTAATGTTGATTTTCAAAGTGCTTGTGGTACCATACAGAACTTTCATGAGTAGCTTTGTACAATGAGGGAAGGGTAACAAAAGATTCAGTGAATCTCCCCATTAACATGCCAGATGTCATAGCACCAGTCATGATTTCATATTGGTTTAGACCACTCGAATATTGTATCTCTAACAGCTCAGTAGTAATTTACCAAAACTAAAATTATGAAGATGGCTGATATTAGGTTTTTACTTTTCTATTTTATACCTGAGCTGTTAGCAATTCAGTGCCATACTACATTTAGCAAGGAGTCAGCTTCCAGAATATCTATGAGATCTTCCCATCCGAACCTAAATAAACTCAGAGTGCAAGCATGGAATAGAACCACAGCAGCAGGGGAAGACATGCAATTATTTCAGAATATTGGTCTGAGCTCTAGCTTCATTTGCATGACTATAGCTATATACTAACACTGGACCTTATTCCTATTCAAGGCTTTACAGTTTGGAAAAGATTCAAACACAAATACACAAGTACTTGGTGATAATCCCATTTCACTTAATAGTTTGAACTGATTCTCTCTTTATTCCCTCACATTCAACCTCACAAAAAACTCTTACCACATAAGGTATGATGGTTGTCAAATAGTTTTCATTTTAGCCTCAGATTTTAAAAAAAGATTTGCAATAAATTAATTAGTGACACTTCCTCATCTTTCCTTGCTTCATAGATTATCATATTATGATGTCAAGCAATTATTATATATTGACATCCTAGCAATGCAATGTTAAGTAAACATTATTTGCTTTAAATTAGAACAAGTACATTATATAGAATTTAAATAAATATCGTGGGTCACAATAAAGCGGAATTTTCCCCACATTTATTTCTATAGTTGTCTAACTGGAAATTAAAAAAAAAAAGTTATATCTTGATTTCTCTATATATTTCCTTAACTTAGTTCCCATTCTTTCTCCATCATGGAGTGTTTGATATTCTGCTGTCTCTGCTTGACCTCTCATAATGAATATGATCATTTTCCTCATTCAGCTAAGAAAAAAAAACCAAATATTTTTCTGTACATAAAAATATAGTTTTTCCTTTTTTATATTTCCTTTTATTCTTTGTCTTGTCCCTTGAAAGTGGAAATTTACTGAGATGACAGAAGTTGGGGAAATGAAGAAAGGGATCATTGCAATTTGTAAATACTCATGAGAAATTTATGTCAACAAGGCAAAATTTCAATGACAGAAAAATTCTAGAAAATAAGGCAGAAGCAGTATGCTCACATGTGCAGCAGAGCTAGGAAGAAAATTATTTATCAAGCAGACAGTTTCATTTTTTGGTCAGATTCAGGTGACCTGAAAGGCTTCTTCTGCAATTCTTTATCTCTAAGAATGGCTTATAAACAAAAATGCATACCATTCTGCTAGGTTTTTCTCTCTTAAATACCAGTTTGGGAAGTGATCCAGTCCCGAAAGGCAGTCACTCTGGTATAAACACCAGGCTTATTGGGTTGCCCACATTCATCTCCCCAGCTCACTATTCCAGCAAGGTACCAGATATCTCTAGCATCTGGACTAACCAGTGGTCCTCCAGAGTCACCCTAAAGGAGAAGGAAGAGATTAGTAATTAATATCTTATTCAATACAGAGAAATTTACTATTTTTCTAATGAGTTTAATGAGAAGGCAGTTTTCCAAAGTCTTCAGTGTGTTCAAATGCACAAGCGATTCCCTCTAAGTCAGTAATTCACATAAAGGAGGGGCTCCAGCACCTTGAAACTGCCTTAGCCTCGGGATTCACTACAGTGATATTAAAGACTCCATCTCTTTGGAAAACAATATTCTTAACCTGTCTGGTATATCTGACAAAGTAATTCTCCTTACTGGTTGCCTCTTTACCAGTGTGACATAGCTTCCAAAAGAAGGGTGATGAGTCTATTACCAGTAAAGAGTACAAACATTAGAGTCAGGCATCCAGGCTTAAATCTTAAGTATGGCCCTTCCAAGCTGGCTAAGATCTTTAATTTACTTATTTCAGTACTCCTAATAATCCCTGCCTCTGATGATTATTTTGAAGATTATGTAAAATAGTATGCAAAGTGCTTAGCATAGATCCTGGCACAAAGCAGTAATTAGTAAATATATACACAAAATCACAAATGCCAATTGTTTATATCTAGTGAACTCCGGAGGTCGTGTTTCCTTAAAAAGGTTATTTTCAAAAAAGGTACTGGCTGATTATTCCTCAAATCCCTGGGACCTGTAGTTACTGACCATCCATTAAGTATTCAGCACTCTATGAAGCTCTCCTAATTAACATATTCTCTCATTAACTCCTGTAATTCTGACAACAAAACATGAAGTTAGGTTTCATTTCTTCCATTTAACAATAAAGAACTGAAACTTGTAGAAATTAAGTAATTTACCTTCTGTCCCGTCCTATTTAGTAACAGAACTTGAAGGTCTAAAGTGATCTAAAGTGATCTAAAGTGATCTAACTCAGAGAATATGTTCTCTACCCTTACATTATACTATCTTCCTTATGAATTTTCTTCTATCTATGTAAAAATATTTAATAATCATAATAGCTGAATTTGAAATAGTGTTTGTAATTTTGAAATGAATGACCAATAGCGTTTACTGATGCCCTCACATGTGATAAGAGATATAAAGAGAGTGGAAATACATAGGCCTTGCCCTCAAGGAGTCTACAATCTATTTATAGAAATAAGAAGTGCCATATGATGCTATTTGAAAATAAATCATTTTGATAATTGAAACTCAAGCACAGGTAGAGCAGATTAGGATAAAGAAATAGTAGATGTCAGAGATGACAAAGTTTAAATCTGTTTAAGAGACAAGAGTGAAAAAGTCTGAGAAAAAAGTAATCAAAGAAAAAAGATAGTAATGCATCTAACAGTAGTAAAACATGAAAAATAAGGTAATGTCCAGGAAGTATCAGAATAAAGATACAGCCTATTTCTTTAACACTAATTAGGTCACACACAATTGGTGCATAGGGGAGTTATGTCAGTATAAGATAGAAGTGATGGTTTATATGTGTTTTGTCTCATGCAAGAGGGCTAGAATAATGGGAGGAGAATTATAATCTTCAAGAGAAAAGGAAAAAACTATCAACTCAGCTATTCACAGGCAGAAGCCTCTGGGGCTCTATTTTAACAAAATGTTTTAAAAGCGCCTGTGCCCAGGACTCCCTCACCCCCTGACACCAAACACACACACACACAGAGAGAGAGAGAGAGAGAGAGAGAGAGGGTGAGAAAGAGGCAGAGCCCAGCTTTGCTTAATTCTTAGATCCCGACAGGTTGTAGTTCTTCCTCTGCTTCAGGCTATACTCCTATGTGCATTGTCTCAGCCTCAGCAAGCTGGTATTTCCACTCTACAGTTTCTGTGCATTTTTAACATCCCCTAAATCAGCCACCAGCCACTCTGGGCATTCTGCCTGCCTACTCTGTTCAAGTTATTTTTCAAAGTACAGTTATTTGTTGTTAATTCTCTGGTTACTAAGTTGCATAGCCTTTGAGGATCCATTGGTTTGTCTCAACTCTATTCTTTCCATAAATCCTCTTATTTTTGGTGAGTGGTTTAGTGAGAAACAGAACAGGAAGTTTATTCACGAATGCACATAACAGAATGGAGACAAATAAGATAAATCTGGAAGATATGATAAAGAGGAGAAATATTCTAGGACTTGACTGACTACATGTGAAGAAGATGAAAGACCCGAAGAATAATGAAAGCCGATAACATAAAGGAGAAACTTAAAAATGAAAAACAGTTAACATTTCATGATGCCCGTTGACTTTATGATGGCACATATATGAATTTCAGTCTTATATTAATAACTTAAAACATAAATAAAAATGGTTTAGGAGTAGGTGGAACTGTAAGACTAAATTTGGACAAGAGATTAATTCTGGACATGTAGATGTAGAAGTCATTAAAGTGATAATTGACTTCAAAGAAAAGATAGCTTCTTTAAGTGAATATGTAGAGAACAGAGAAAATTTTCATCTGAGATTTGATTCTTGAAGGGTAGTCAGGCTTAGAGAAAGGGAACGAGGAAAGAGGAACCAATATTTCAGGATCATAGAAGCCAAAGGAGGATCACATTTTATAAAAGAATAGGAGGCAAAATGTCACTGAGATGAGAAAGACTAAAAGACCCAAGTAAATATTTTTGCATGTGCAGTTATTGATGATTTCTGTGATATAAAAATAAGGAGCCAGTCAAGTGGCAAAATTGTGGGTGCTAGACATAAAAGAGAAAAAAAATGGTGCCAGTTTCTTTCAGAGATAGGAAAGTAGGGTATTGTAATCACGGGGCTGAACTTGGTTCCTTATCTTTTATTTCTCAAATTTGTAAAGAATATAAACCTTTAATACCATCATCAAAGTGACATTGTAGAATAGGGAATATATTTTCAGATGAAATCACAAATGACATTTGTGATTTACTTCAAAATAGGTCTGGAATTTTGAGGTGGAGGGAAGGGTTGAGGGGATTGTGTTAGAATATATAGGGATAAAATAAGCTTGGTCATGAGTCGAAAATTGTTGGAGCTGGGTGATAAGTACATGGGGTTCATTATACTGTTCTCTTTACTTTTGCATACATTTGAAATTTCTGTAATCAAAATTTAAAAATAAAAAGCTAAAGACTACAATTGTTCCTCCGAAACTTTTAGAAAGTTACTGTAAATAGAAGTGAGGTATTTGAATAAAGATCATAAATAATGATCATGGATGTGAAAGCGCAAGGTGTTTTCAATAGTTTTAGTAAAGTTGGAGGCAAGTAGGATGAATGGGATTAAAATGAGAGATATATAATAATATCTAAACAATGATTGCAGATCCGTTTTCTGTGATTATCAAGATTCTCATTGTTCATGGTAGTTATGTTCTATGAAGTTGCTGCAAACACTGAATTAGTGAATAATCAATCAATCAATCATTGCTCCTAGGGAAAATAAAGGGTTAGATTTCCATGAGTCCCTGGTCAGATTTTTGTCAATTGATCAATATATAACCATTTTGTGTGTGTTTCTGTTTAAAGACACCTTATTTAACATATATTATTGGTTCATGAACACTGAACTCACAGCCAACAGCACTGTAACTCATGCCTGAATGCAGTTTATCTAATATACATATTTTCTCCATAAGTTACATATAGCCTTCTTGCACTTCACTTCAGAACTACACCTGGGGACTATTTTAAATAGCAAAATCACCAACAAAAAGCATAAAAATGTGAAAAATGTGGCATTAAATAGACCACAGAAAGGATATAAGTTTATGGTAGTAAAGCTAAAACAAGAGGGCAGCATCATCTTTTTAGACCTGAAGTAGGATCGTGCAAAAATTTTTTGCCACTCTGTTCATGTTTGTTAATGATCAGGAAAGTGCCTTGAGTATTAACTTCGGGTTTTCAAACAAATTTTAGCAAGTAGGTAGATTCACAAGTATGGAATCTGCAAATAACGAGAATCAAGTGTATTTTCCAGTGAATCTTTTATTCAGATGGTTTTATTTTCATAGGTTTAGTTACAGAATCAACCTGAATTTTCCATAGAATTTTGCAATGGAAGGAATCTATATTGTTTCATGTCTTCCTTCATGAACAAACACGGCCTCAGAGCAGGAAAAGAAACACAATGAAGTGAGTTCAATCTCGAGAATTTGGCAGAAGTGTGCAGAAAGGTCAACTGGGTGAAAGGGTTTAATGTAACCAACTGAACAATATAAAGTGACTGACACACAGGTAAATGTTGGGAAGGGACTATGGTGAAGTCAACTGTGCATTAAGAGAAGTGAAGCCAACAAAGGGAAAAAATAGGTGCAGTGTGTACGTGAGAGAAAAAAAAAATGAAAAGTTCCAAAAAAAATGTAGAAATGAATGATGTCCACTCTAAATCCAGACTGGAAAGGACACAGAATAGTATTAAATATAATACTTGTCAAATCATGAAGTAAAAAATATAAAAGTATTTAGGGACATATCTAAGGACTCAGTTATTGATCCCCTCCAATATTTATCAGTAGTGTGCATGAAGACATATAGGTCATGATTGTCAAGTCTGGCAAATGCACACAGTTGACAGTGCTGGCCTGTGTACCAGAAAGCAAGATCAGGGTCCAAAACATGTCTATGCTCTGGACCAAGATGGAATCGACTTATTCCTTTTACCTAAGCTAGATACATCTAAAAACAAAAACAAAACCCCTGAACATTAGGAAGAAAACAAATATAAAAAGATTCTAAAAGGTAGAGCGAAGAAGGAAGGTAAGCTAAGAACCTCAGAACTCAAGGAATGACACAGCGGTGAGCTTCCTAAACCCTAGATTATTTTATTTTTTTCTTCACTTATCCTGGGCATGGAGCTGAAGAAACCAGCAACCTAGCATCCTGGCAACAGGTGCAAATAAAAAAGAAGCCTCAAGAAAAGCATTTTTTTTCTCTAGTCAAAGAACCAGAAAGGGAGCAACCTAGGAAGACATTTGGACAATATCGTCTCTACTCCAACAAAACACAGAACAATCTGTGGTCCCATCCCAACCCCTGTCAGCATAGGCCAAGTGGGGAGCTTGGAATTCTACTCTTATCAGGCTGTACTGAGGCCCAACCCCTGACCAGACTGGTGTCAGAAAAAGGCTGAGTGTGGAGCCAGACTCTCATCCCTCCAGGTGACAACAAAGGCCTCCTCTATCTCCCTTTTGGTGACCAGTTGGAAGATAGATCACTGCCCAGTGGTAATGAGGCATAACTCTCTCTCCCACTAGGTAATGTTAGAGGAACCCAGTGGAGGAGTGTCAGGACACTCACTACCGCCAAGCAGTATTGAGTCCACTGTCCCATGATGTCAGTGGAGGCCACAAGAGGAGCACTAACAAGGCACTCCAGTCACAGAGGTATCAGAGGAAGCCTAGTGGAGAGCCTGAAATTCCACCTCCATTCAGCAGTAATGAGGCACTACTCCTCCACCCAGGTGTTAATGGAGAATGAGCGGGAAATGAGGCAGCCCCTCCTTATTCCCTCCAGTGTCATGTTTGAGGAGGCCCACTAAAATAGAAGATTTAAATAAGATCCAGAGTCTCATAACAATACTCAAAAAGTCAAGGATACATTTGAAAATCACTCTCATACCAAGAACCAAGAAAACCTTGAGAGAGAGAAGGCAATCAACAAATACCAACACTAAGATGACACAGATGTTGGAATTATCTGACAAAGATTTGAAAGCGACCATCGCAAAATTGTCTTCACGAGTAATTACTATCATACTTAAAACAAATGAAAAAAAAAATAGGTTTCAGCAAAGAAATGGAAGATATAAAGAAGAATCAAATGGAAATCTTAAAACTGAAAAATATTATCAAAATAAAAATTTTAAAAACTCACTGGATACACTTAACATAAGAATGGAGATGACAGAATTAAAACCAGTGAACCTGAAGATAGAATGATAGAACTATCCATCTGAACAACAGAGAGAAAAAGAAGTAGGAAAGAAACGATGAACAACAGAAGCTTAGAAACCTCTGAGACTATAACAAAAGAATTACATTCCTGCCATTAGAGTCCCAGAAGGAGACAAAAAAGAGAAGGTGAGGCTGAAAAGTATTCAAAAAATACTGGCTGAAATTTCCCAAATTTGTCAAAGGACATATATCTGCAGATTAAAAAGCCAAGCAAACCCCAAACAAGATAATTTAAAGAAATCCCTACCAAGACACAAAAATTTCTGAACACTAAAGACAAAGAAAAAAATCTTAAACACAGTAAGAAAGAAATGACACCTCCTCTATAAGGAAAAAATTCTGATAACAGCAGATTTGTCATTTGAAATCAAGAAGACCATGATTTAAATGCTGAAAGGAAAGAACTGTCAATCCCAAATTCTATATCTGGCAAAATTATGCTTCAGAAATTAATAGGAAATAAAGTATTTTGCCAGACAAAGAAAATCTAGAAAATTTGTCACTAGCCAATCTACCCTAAAAGAATGGCTAAAGGAAGTTTCTAAAGCGGAAAAGAAATGATAAAAAAAATTAGAAAACCAGAAAAAAAGAAAATCAAAACTATGGTTAAACAAACCTTGCTTCTCTTGAATTTTCTGTTTGGCACTTGAAGCAAAATTATTATCTAATATGGATCTTAATATATGTAGAGGAAATATTTATGTTTATTAATATTAATATTATGTGAGGAAGGGTAAAGAAATGTAAAGGGAGGTAAGTTTTCTATTGTACACACCATTCAAACTAGTAAAATCTGAAAACCAGTAGACTGTAATAAATTATGTATGTATAACTTAGAGGAACCAAAAATTTTTTTTCTACAGAGATAATCTAGGCAAAAACACTAATAGATAAAACAAAATGGAATTCTAAAAAAAAAAAAAGAAAGAAAAAAAGGCTATTGTATGATTCTATTTATAAAATGCTCTCAAAATTACAAAATTATAGAGATGAAGAACAGATTAACGATTGCCAGGTGTTAGTGATTAGAGAATGATAGGGAGGAAAGTGGTGTTACTCTAAAGGGAGAGATTCATGGTGATGAAATAGTTCTCAAATGCAGGGGTAGTTACACAAGTCTGCACACGTGACAAAGTGTCATAGTACTAGAAGCACACACTGTACTAATGTCACTTTCCTAGCTTTTATATCGTAATCATTGGCAAACATTAGGTCAAGGGTATAAAAGACCCCTCTCTACTACTTTTGCAACTTTCTGTAAATCTGTAATTATTTCAAAATATAAGGCGAACAAAAAATTATGCAGCATACTAACAGGCCAAATCACTTACCTGGCATGCATCTCTTTTTCCTTGCAAAGAGCCAGCACATAACATTCTAGGAGTTAAGGCATTATTGTAAACTTGAGGTTCATTACAGGTTTTAGTGTCTATGAGATTCACTTGTACTTGCCGAAGATGATTTTGACTGTTACCTAAAGGGAAAAAATAGTCTTTATTTTTGTAGATATATACGTATTTTGTAGACCTAAAGAAAGTCTTTCATAGTTATTGGACAAGATGGTGATACAGAATCTTAGGATATGTATTTTTTTTCAGATATAGTATACTTGGGGAGCATTCTTTCCCATTTTAAATGAAAAGTTAGGTGCCTAAAAAAGAACATCAAGTTGTTTGTTTAAGTAATGTTCATTTTGTTGTTAAGCTTAGCAGGTAATTTTAGTAGGGGGCATGATGGTTTTAGGATTCTCTGATCTTTGGCAATTGAATATATTAATGACCCCTAATCTCTTATGCCATTAATTTCCTAGTAAAAAGTTCAGATATATTTACTCTTTCAGATATCTTACCAAGCACCATCACTATAGTAGTAGTGATGCACTTGATAGAAATCTAAGGCATGAAGGAATTTATGTATCTGCTAAATGACTTAGTTCACAAACAGGGCTTGACTTGGCCCAGGTCAATATGACCAACTCACTAACGTATTTTGGCATAATGACATTCCGTTCTTTACATGTCTTAGAATACAAACTTAGATTACTATGATTTGATTTTCTCCTCAGATTCTCACCATCATTTTGCCGTGCTCCAAATCCAGTCACAAACATCTCATCACCTGGGTGAAACTCATAGGATGCATCGGGGAGACAAATTCTGTGTACCGCATTTGTGTAAGGAACAGGGCTAGAAAGCTCTGCAACTGAAATATCATAGTCATGTGATGGGTATTTATATTTTTCATGGACAATTATCCTCCTGATGCCTCGCTTCATTTTTGGAGGATTTATTGTTACTCCAAAGGAGGCAGTCCATCCGGCTGGGTCTTTATACCTAGGGAGGAAAGTATGAAGAATAAATTCCACTTTACCATTTGCTACCAATATAACGATTTCTATTAAGCAATTTAGTCTTCAGGTGTCAATATAAGTTTCTCTTTTTAAAATTATAGTTTCTATGTATAAAAACAAACTCTTTCCAATCTGAGAATCAGGCTCATGGGTCAGGTCAGACAGAAATGCACAATGGCATGTTTCTTGGGATATCCATGCTGTTTTGCATGCTGAAGCACCCACTCCAGATCCTGAGGCCTTTTGACATTTCTGGGTATCAGTGACTCCAAGAGACATATGGAAAGCATATCTTGTACAGAATGAGAGAACTAAATGTGTTCTATGTGTACCATATCAAGTACCCCAAAACATATACATTTCTCTGAAAACCAAAAAGGCTACACAATAATTTAACAAAGCATCACAATACTGTGGGCATTTTATATTGTGTTGAAAGGTTTTCATTCATTAAAACATAGCTAGTCAACCTATTCAGTTGTATAATTTCTTACTACCAGATTTCTTCATGTTTAAATTGTAATACGTGGAATTTCCCCATTGGGGTCAAACCTACAATCTACCTAGCCTGTACTGACAGATATGCAGCAGAGAGATTTGCCTCTTCTCTTTGACATCAAGCTCAAAGTCCAAACATGATTTTAAAATTCCTTCTTCCTTTAACAGATTATTGTGTATTTATCAATAGATAATTCACCTACTTGTACTTTGATGCCATTTCCATTTCCAGACTACAAAACTTCTTACAAAGGTTTATGAGTCCCAGTTTCTTTGTGACATATGTTTTTTAATACATAACAAACATCTCTCTTGAACTTTATAATGTATATCCTTCTTGCCAAGCCCCAATACACTCTGCTTAACCCCAGTCACTCTCGAAGTTCAAGACTTACACTCTAAAGCAATGAGCAGCACTCACAAGCCACGTGCAATTAATTAAAGTTGCTCCACAGCGATGGATCCCATCCCATTGCAGGCTAGCTTGCCATGGCCATTCACCCTCTTCTACCTGTGTCCCACCAACAATCCTGAGACTCTGATTTGTAGTTTGATTCCTTCGAGTCCCGCAGCCTGCCAAAGAGAGATGATACATTACTTAACAGTTGTTTTTAAATATCAAATTGTTTTACTATGTCCCAAATTTCTTGTACTTTTTGCTTCTATAGTATCAGATATTTTCTCTTGTTCTTACCTTTCCTTAAACTGTTGTGGTTCATTATTTAACTCCTATTCATCTTGTAAGATTTAAATCAGTCATTACTTCCTCTAGGATACTTTCTCTAACAATTCCTCACCCTCACACTGGACTAGTTATAACTTTTTTGATGCTGCCATTAAAAAATAATAACAATTCTCTCTTTCTCTCTCTCTTTGTTCTCTCTCTCTCTCTCTCTCTCTCCCTCTCTCTCTCTCTCTCTCTCTATATATATATATATATAACTATAGATATAGAAATATATACATGTATAGAACATATATATATGTATATATGTTTCTATATCTATAGTTATATATATTTTTCTTCAACATTATTTATTACAAGGTTTCTCAACCCTGGCAGTATTGACATTTTTGGATAAATAGTTCTTGGGGGGTGGGGAGCGGCGGGAGTTGCTATCCTGTGCATCACAGGATGTTTAGAAGAATCCCTGGCCTATACATACTAGATACCAGTGGCACCCCATACAAGCACAATCATGGTAACTAAAAATGCCACCATGGGGCATGATCCCCTGTGGGTCAAAATTATTCCTGTTTGAGAACTATTGTTTTAGAATTATGTGTTCATGCAATAGTCCTGTACATCTAGTCCCATTAGAATACGAGCTTCTTTAGGCAGAAATAATATCTAATCTTTTTCATATCTCTATTGCCTAGCATAGCACTAGCACATAGTAGGTACCTAATAAATACTGGTGGCAAGAATATATGCTACAAGAATATATGCTATTTAGGTAATGAGATTATCCTTTGGTTGCATGCTTAGTTATGTTTATGAAGCAACCAACATTCCGAGCTGGTGAATAGCACACTTTCTTCTAACTTTTAAGATAAATGTATTCTGTACTAATTTTGTAACTATCAAATGTATTCTCTAAATACATGGTGGAGTACTCTGCTATAAGGGAAGAGAAATACTAGGCCTAGAGTCAGTATTTTAAAAATATGAGTAAAGATATTATATGAGCCTTTGGTAATTTCATCGATATATACTCCAACCCTATAATTGCCTGTGATTCTATAACCTGAGATTAATAGCATCAAGAATATTTTATTTAGTGTAGAGTAACAACTTTCTGCCTCTAGCTGAAAAATACCAACATACAAATTACTTTTGTATAATCTTTAGAAAACTTTTGTGAGAGTATATTATAGATATCTTTAATCAGAAGATTAAGAAGTGAATATTTTTTGCCTCTTCTTAAACGATTGTAGCACTCACTTTACTACACATCTGCCATGGACACCCATACATCCACTCCAAAATTATTCCAACTTTGTGATTCTTTAGTCTTAAATGTGCCTCAGAGATAAGATAAAGCACCATGAGCTATGCACAGATCAATCAGACTTTATACTGACCCTATAACATCACACAAAGTAAGCCTAAATGATCTAGTGTTAACGTTTTACATTCAAGTAAAGCAATTTATTAAATATATTAAACTTACAACTGTTCAGAAAGTTGTCTGTTTCTGTCTTGTTGATTTCTGAAATACACAGAAATGGTGAACAGGGTCAGCACATCAGAACTGCATAATGTCTCTGACTATTTCAAGTACTAAAAGTTGCTTAATTCCATTTTAAGATAGTATCTCTAGGTTGTAAAAAAAAAAAAAAGCAATACAGTTAATTTTTCATAGAAACAGTATGTTCACTGTCTTGGGGAAAAGGGTGTTGTGAAGAGTGTTTCCTAAACTTTAATGTAGATAATGTACCTTTAAAAGTCCTTTTTTATTGCTTTTTGAAGAGTCCAACATTTTCATTTTGCCCTAGGCCCCACAAATTATGTAGTTGGTCCTGACTAGTAAAGGCTCCCTTTCAAAGCAAGTCAGATAGCTGATCAGCAAGTTAGGCCCCTAGTTAAGTCTACTAGCTTTGATGGTAGCACTTTGTATATCTCCTTGTCCCCAGTTCTCTAGTTTCTAGTGCTGCCATATCCTATATTGTTTCCATTAGCCACACCTGCCTAGTAAGGTCTTGAAATGCAGCTCATCTAATTTGAAAAGTGCTGTAAATATATACATTAGATTTCAAAGCTTTAATATAAAAAAATATAAAATATCTCATAAATAATTTTTATATTGACTACTTGTTGAAATAATAATACTTTCACTTTTTTAATAACTACTAGAAAGTTTAAGATTATACTTTTGGCCTGCATAGTATTTCTATAAACTAGCATTTTTCTATAGCATATGACTTAGCTCTTAACTCTTAACCAGATTTTCATTTCTACCAAGGAACTCCTATGTTTCTTACTTTCTAGTAATGAGGATCTATCACTGCACATTTTGTCCCTGCCCTGAAAAAAAAAAACACTCAGATTTTTATATTAGTTGTAAAATATACCAAAAATATCATATTTTTTATTAGTAAATTATCTAAAGGAAGAAGCTATGACAAGGTATATCAACATTTGAAGCAAATATGTGGATGGCATGAAACTTTTCACACATCACACTCTCAGAGCATATAATATATAGAATACAAGCAACAAGAAAAAGAAGAGGAATAAATATACAAAGCCACTTTCAGCATTAATCATTAGATTCTATAGCTAAAGTGTAAGACCCAGTATAGAAAAAGAATTCAGGCCCAGGAGTTAATAACAGACTTGCAAGGAAAGCATAAGTTTCGGGTAGTATTCAAAATTAAAATACTTTGTTAGACCAGTATTGTCCCAAAGAAATGTTTTGTCCATGGCAAGATCACATAACTAAAAGACATCCAAAATACTTTTTAAAAATCATTGCCAAAGATCAAACTTAACATGGAGCTATTCTATGTAAGAGATTAAACTAAATAAACTTACTTTTTATTTCAACTGATTCAGGATATAGTTTAAGGGGTCCTACAGCATCTTGAAGCTTTTCATGTAGAACACGTTGAATATTTTTATTTATGGTTTCAGGATCTTCAGTGGAGCGAAATCTAAAAATCAGCAGCATATGAGCTAACACTCCATTTTCCTCTTTACTGTGGACCAAAAAGAAAAAAACAAAAATGTGATTTTCAAAGATATAGTTTAGAATATGATTTATGGTAATACCATATCTTTTTCTTTATCATTCATTTGAAACACACACACACACACAAAAATCCATAAAGGTAATTTTAAAATATCCAATTTGTTTCCTTCTATATTTCTATCATTTACCACATGTAGAACTCCCAATTCAGCCTCCCCAATAGTAAGCAAGTATGCTCATGGTCTCTGTCACCACCAAAAGGTCTAGATAAGTACATGGTTATTAACATAAAAGGATATTTCTCTTGTCAACCACTCAAAATTATCAAATATAATGTATACTGAATATGAAATCAACTCAGCTAAATTCTCAGTGGCTTAAATCCAATCATTTCTCCTACGCAACTTTCAGGCTCTCATAAACGACTCCTAATTCTAAGAATAGTAGGAAGCTTGACCAAAATGTTTGACTTCATGTGATTATATTTTCAAGATAGAGCATTAATTAGACTTAGTATTACTTGGATGAGTCACTACCTTGGATTCATCCTTGACTATTCTTTTCTCACCATCTGTCAGCTACTCCGCACCCTGTTTTTCACCTGCAATCAGTTCCCAAGCAATCTTATTCCTCTTTCTAAACTGCATTTACTCCTACTCACTTAAATGTAAATGAAAATAGAAATTGGAATCTTATTTTTAGAGGTCAGCTTTGTTTATCCATTATAAATTTTATTATCCATCTTCTCTGATACAGAGTTTCTACTTTTAGCAATTTAATCTTCAAACTTGCTCTTGTGCATATGTTCATTGTAATTTGTTTTTAAATTAGAAAAATATGTAACAATCTAAGTATCCATCAAAAAGGCATTGGCTAAATCAACCCTGACACATACCTGTAGTGAAATTCTATACAGCCAGCTAAAGAATGAAATAAATGTATATGCAGTCATTGAAAAGATATGCAGAATAAATTGTTAAGAAGATGTGTTATTTCTGAGAGTGGAATTACTGGAGAGGGATCTTTCACTTTCTATTTTATGTAATACCTTGTTATTGAGATTTATGTTTTTGTATTGCTTTTGTAATCTGAAGAAACAAATAGTACTTTAAAGAAATTATTGTTATATATTGTTATATATTGTTATATATCTCATTCTCTTTCACTGTTACTCTGTACATCAATTTTTTCTTCTTTTTAGTCAACTATTGCTATACTATCTGACTAATAGAAACAAAAACAAATAAAACAGTTTCTCTACCCTAGCTATTCAATTTATCTCTCACTTTCTTATCAAGAAAACCTTCCTAAAAAGATAAATTATATTCTGCCTCATATTTACTTCATGGAGCTCTACTTCATCCTCTTCCATTCCACTGAGTCTCTTTTCTACACTGAAAGACTTCCTCATTGACATGTCCAGTGGATTCTTTCCAATCGTACTACTTGGTCTCTCATGAGTATTTGTCAATGCTGACCGCTCTCTTCTTGAAACTTTTTGTCTTTCATCAGTTTCCTTTTCTCCTGCTCCTTCCCTGTCAATTTTCTAGGTTTCAGTTTTTTCTCACCTCATTAAATATTGTTGTTTTTCAAGCTTTCCTCACCAATTTTTTTGTCTTGTATTAACCTTTTTCTGAGAAATTCCATTTATAGCCATACTTTCCAAACCTTGAGTTAATGATGAACAAATGTATATCTTCAGCTTAGTTCCCTCTACCTCCCCCAAGTCAGACTCATATTTCAGGCTCATATGGTCCCCTAATATATCAGTTCAACATCTTTAACACTGACTTCGTCTTTCTAACACACTTGTACTACTTCCTATTGTAGTAACAGGAGAAAAAATAATGAGTAGCAAGATTACTAGGTTAAAGGGGTAAAATGGAAAGTGGTTTGGGAGATAAAATTGGTAGAACTTAATTACACATAAAACATAAGGGCTCAAAAAAAGGAAGGAGTGTATGATAACTTCCAGGTTTCTCATTAGTGTGATTGGGTTTTTCTTGAGTTCAAGAATTTTCTGTGGAAATTCCATGAGAAGATGTGCCTGGGAAGGCATATAGTTCTAAAAACCAGGAAAACAATTTAGACTGGTAATAGAAACTTGGATTTCAATAGCATATGAAGCCATGTGGGTGGGTGAAGTCTCCTTTAGAGAGTGAAAATTTAAGGATGGAGAAATAGATACAAATCAAAGAAAGAACAATATTTCAAACACCAGAAAGTACAGAATTTTCAGAAGAAAGTGGTCAAAGTAACATTTAAAATATGTCAGTGAATAGACAAAGAAGTAATTTTTGGAAATTTAGTCATTGAAATAATATTGGAAATAGCTCTTATCCTATTTTTTGAAAAATACAATTAATTTGTATTCATGCAATATATTCATTTTCTCATATAGTATTTTGCTTAAAATATGATGCTCAGAACTTCTATTTATTAACGGCTGGTGATCAGAAGTGAGATTTTCTTAAATATTTGGAGTAGAAAGGGTAAAATTAAAGAAAATTAATAAGAACTAATCGGTAAATACAAATCTCATCTACTACAGTATTTGCTATTAAACCAGAGGATGTGGCTTAGATCCCTATTTATGCTAATTAGAACTCTTCTCCCCCCCCAAAAAAATTCTATAACATAGCCACCAATAATATGTCCCTCCCAATCATCTTGCAAATGCTATCTTTTGGATTTAGAGAATAAGCAAAGTACATTGTAAACCATGACTTACATAGAACAGGTGCCAAATAAATATCTGTTGAATTCAATTACATCATATCATAATACTTCAAACTTCAAACAAAAAAGTATCTATTACTGGCCAAGTTAACAACTTTAGCTTTAAATTGTATTCTAAATTTACAATTTAGCTTTAAATTGTAGTCATCATTATAGATCTACATACCTGAATCTGATAATGTGAGACTTGACGAATTCTTCCCTCAATGGAGACTTATAAAATGCATTTTTCACCTGTTCCAAAATATTCAAATTATGTCAGCAAGAACAATTTTCTGAAACTCTGCAAGTTAATTTGAAGCTTAAAAACATTTTATAAATTAAAAAAAAAAAAAAAAAACACAGCGACCAATATTTCACAATGTGCTGAACTTGAGGAATCTTTTTTGGCATTCTACTCTGTGATTTCCACTGAACTCTGCCTTGGAAGTTATAGAAACCCAGGAACCATAGTAGAGGGGCGGCGCGGGGGGTGGGGGGGACAAGGAGTGACATATGTTGTGCTACACTCAGAAAAGGACCAAAGAGAATTAACATTGATTTTTGAAAAATAAGTGCTTACACTCTGAGATACAGACAAAGGGAGACAAAGAAAATGAAATAATTCTGTCAAGTGATAGTTGGGTCATTGAAATGAGTGCATAACAGTGTCACGTGGCTCCCAAAGCTATAAAAAATTTTCTAATATCCTGGCATATTCTGAACCCAATTCAGCACTCAAAATGCTCTTTGGAAAGATCATGCAATCTGGGATACTCAGCCTAACACACTTCCTATGAGGTTTACTCTAATAAGGTGAAAGAATGCATTTTGTGGAGATATTTTTTACTACTATAAATAAGAATTCTAGCCAACTTAAAATTTTTAATTAAGAGTCAAAGTAAACATTGTCGAGTGTTTTTTGTTTTCTGTGTGTAGAGATTTACCAAACGTAGTTACTACAAGCTGGTGATTGGCAAACAATGAGCCTTTTCATTCTTTCTTACATTTCATTGAGTCTTCGTGACCAAGGACAGTTACTTTCATTATGAGACAAATCAGCACAGTACAAATGAGTCCTCTAATGACAGCATTCACTTGGAAATTATTATTGAATGATTTTGTTAGTTAAATAATTTCAAAATTATTATTAATTCTGAAGAGTATTAAAGAGTCCTGTCTATATTCCTATATGTTTCAGTCAGTCCGAATCTCATAAAATTTATTTTAGTGAATGGCACAAAGAACAAGAAAAATAGTTGCATCTTTTCTTGACCTTTTTAGTTCCATTTAATTCCCTTTATTTTACATATGTATTTAGCCTTAAAGGAGAACTTATTCCGATATTTTCCTGGCTGTGTACAAGTACAAAGAAAAGTTATCACCCAAGCCCTTGCTCTTTTGGCCTTTATTGGTTGTTTTTCCACTTTTCAAAATATTTGATTCATCCTTCAGGATGAATATTGTTGCCTTAAGGATAGAATGAGAATCCATGGATTTTCTATATACTTATGTACCAAGTATTTGTCCAAGATTAGATATTTTTAAATACTAAAATACTATTCAAGTATGTGTCTAAATAGTTTTAATCTTATGGTCTTTTGCCCAAGGTCTCTTCTTTAGGAAGTCTAAGATACCACAACCCTCACATTCTCAGAATTTTTGAATTCTGCTGATTAAGATTATAGGCCTAGCTAAGGAAGGGGGAACAGAAAGAACATAAAGGAATGGCCAAGGTCACTTGGTTCAGTTCTGCAAGACATGCTCTCTCAAGTCATGTATTGTCAGTTTTGTTTTATATCTCTTAGGTAGCCTCTTCTCCTTTTGTGAAGATAAGCAAGATCAGTTGAATAGATGTTTTAGAAGGTAGGGTACTAAAAATTTTGGTTAAAAAGTGATAGCAATATGGAGGGGAAAAAATGCTTACCATTGATTCAATTTTCTGGCTCATTTCTGTGAAATTTTTAGAAGCCTCTCTTCCAAAGTCACCATATAATTCGTCACTTGAAAATGATAATGTGCTGTAGTAATTATAGGTCTTCCTTTGATCTACAAAGAAAGAGATAAAAACACATCATCATACTTTTTATCAGTCGTGTGTAAAGTATCATCATTTTCCCATTTGGTGGTTGCTGGAAAGGCTGAGACAGGAAAGAATGTCCCTAGCCAGGTTACTATCTTCATCATCCTGCCCTGAGCTTCATGATTATCTCAGAAAGAAAGACAACAACAATTCATCATCATGAGTTTTAGAGTGTAAAAGCCATAACAAATGCTTGATGTTCCTGTGGGCTAATTAGTCATGTGTTATCCATTTCTGAATAAGCCACAAAAGGCAGCAAGTCACGCCATCTGAGCGTACTCACAGGGATAGATTCAGAAGCTTCCCAAGAGTAAATTTTATATTCCAAAAGTAGATTTCTTCCAGTTCAGTAAACTACACATCAATTCTGGCCAAACGGACTCTCGTGTAAAAAAAATTTATTTTGGCTAAAGAACGAAGTTGAAGGTAGGGCTTAAAATGCTAGGAGTTTAGTATATAGTTTAGGAGACTAGAGCCCCCACCTGGCACAACTTTCCAGGAACACTACTTAGTTTCACCTGGCTCCCTTGTCACTCTATTTCCATCCAATGGCCACAGGACTTGGTCTGTCTGCTTCCTTATCCATTGTCTCCACTTTTTGCACTCAGTTTAAGCAGCCATGTTTTTGGCCTGCAGAAGAACCAATGAAGCAAAGCTTTTTGTCTACCCGCCTTCACATGAAGCAAACACAGAGCTCTCAAAAGATTCATTCAACAAATATTAATGCCAACTACACTTTCTGTGAGAGACTCTGTGCTGAATGTTAGGAATACAATGGTGATCAAAACTATTGTGTATTTTTATTATAGGAAAATGGAGCATGCCTTACCAAATCTCAATCTCTATGCTTTTCTCTCTTGCTTCTAATTATTTCCCTTTTTTACTTAAATTACAAAGGGAAAGGAAATGAACATTGGGCACCTGTGTCCCAGGCATATTCACATATTTCATTTTATTTACAATAACCCACATAGAAAGGCAGTATTATCCACATTTATCAGATAAGGGCTACAGTCTCAGAAATTTAAATAAATTGCCTAACCCTAATATGACATAGCCAGAAAAGACGGAACTGGGCTGCAAGCCAAAGTCTAACTCCCAAAGCATAAATTTTGCTTACATACTGCTTTTAGGGTGGGAGGAAAAAAACCAAACCTACTCATTGAAGCTATAAGAGAAATCTCTTGTTATACACAAGTTATGCAAAAAAAAAAAAAAAACTACCCGTAAATTTCAAAAGAACATCCTGTCTGTCCAGAGTATTTGGTGAGACAGAGAGAGAAGCCTCTGGTCATAGTCTGATAAGGCCTGGAGTGATGCATAAAGGAGTCGGATGGCAGGCTGGAGACACTGAAAGGTCAAGGTATCCTAAGCATTAGCCACCCAAGTGAGGGCCTGGGAGGTTTTACCTTCCTCTCTCCTTCTTACCTCCTTCCCCTGAATGGCCAGTGTGACTTGAAATGCAGGCAGGTCCCTGGCAATATATACAATTTTCAAATAAAATTTTTAATTTATTGAAACCTTTACCTTAGGTCTACAGCTGGCCCATGATTCTGCATTTCTAACAAGCTCCCAGGTGATGCTGATGCTGCTGGCATCTAATCACATGTTGAATACTAAGTTTCTAAAGAGGAGGAGAATACTCTTCTATATCCTTAGACCTATTTGGATTTTTTAAAATCAAATCATTTTTAATATTGAATCATTTGAAATTGCCATTTGTATAGTTCAAAAATGGTCAAATGCTTCATATGTTTCAACCAAATGAAAGACTTATCTGTAGCCAATATTTTACTTTACTCAATAAACTCAAGCAGGTCATTAAGTGTCAAAACATATTTCCAGTTGCCAGAATTATGTAGCATGTGTAGTTCTTGAAAAGTATCATTGAGAGTATCAGCAGATAAGAAAAATAGGGATGAATGTGAGTTTGCTGATAATTTCTAACAGGTTTGTGATTCTATAACCTACAATGATGTTGCTCATAATAGATTCACTTCCTGTCATTCAAATCACAGAGGGGACAGAAATGTAGCTCCAAAGACCACTGGACAAAAATCTCACATAAAATTCTATGCCATCTTGAGCATTATGCCAAAACAATGTTTCTCTAGATCTAATCACTTCCATCTTTACCTATCTGTTTCTGTAACAGATTTGTTTGGTTTAGTTTGGTTATCTAGGTGTGTCACTTCCTAAATGGCACATATGCTATATCCAGTCTGTTTTTAGTTTACATCCCCAAACAGAGGGCAGGTTACAAATATGACAATAACACATAACACAACAACTGTTGTTTATTCAGGTGTGTTGTGTGGGTAGTGGAAGCTGTGCGTTCCATATTACTCAGTGGATCATCCAAATATTAGGATCCAGTAACAAATTATTGGAAAAATCTTGCCAGGTTTTTATTGTATGAATATGAATAAGATTTGTAAGTCTTATAAATACTTGGCTTAGAAAGAGGCAAAGAAGTATAAGAAACGTTTTCTGTCATGAAGGTAATGAGACTCCTAGCATTATTAGGAATTCCTTATGAAGTCAGACAAGCCAAAGTATGCCCCAAGAAAATGTCATAACTATGACTCACTCATTTTTTATTAACTATTCAATAAACATTAATTAAGTTTCTAATATTTGCCAGGATCATCTTAAGTTCTAGAAATACAAAAGTGAATAAAACATAGTCCTAGGCATCCATGGAGAAGAATAATGATGCTTACAATACCATGGGACTCAATATATTTATAACAGAACTGTAGAATTGTAAAGTTATTTTAGATATTCTTTTTTTATTAAAAATATGTCCCAGAGAAATTACCAAAATGCAGATACTCCAAATTCAAAGATCTGCATATAGGCAAATTCTACCAAAAGAAAAAACAAAATGCTTTACATTTAATGTTTTTTCTTTAACCTGCTCAGAAATTATCTACCTTGTTTGGAAAATTAAGACTGAATTTGTGTCTCCTGGCAGAAGAAGATCACCAATTTATGGATCACCATTTCTCTTTACAGGAAAGCAACTTCTGCAAATTCCCAATTAAATTAGAATCAAGTAATTAGCTTCTTTGTTTTCAGAGTCTTGAACATCAAAGCATTATCTAGTCACTAAGGGAGATAGTAAACCAATAGGTCATAGTGGAGTCAACTAATTAAAATCTGAGCAGAGTAGAAGGAAACTTCAGAAAGGTTGTTGTACTCTGGAAAAACAGTTCTGAAGTACCCTGGGGACCTTACTAATAACAGCAGTGTTCATGTTTCATCTAGCAGTGAGGCACCCGATTACTGCAGAGTGAACTTCTTTATAAGTAACCTTCTCAGTATATCCTACCTCTTTAATCAATTTTAATATATCCCGTGAGATTTGAAATAACAGAAATAGCCATTTATTCAAAAATATATCTCTGAGCATTTTTCCAACCTACTAGCACAAAATAGAGCCTACTTGTTCTCTGTGATCCCTGATTGTGTAATTAATGTATTAGACTGTCAGGATTTCAATGAGTTGGAATTCTTTTATCAAGGTGATTGCCCTAAGGCCTCAAACAACTCTAGGACACTGGACTCTACCTCTGCTATGGTTTTCTACTAATTAACACTTGATTATTGCTCATCAATGAATTTGAAATCTGAAATGCTATTCCCCGCAGGAAGTATTGCTTCATCAGAGATAGAAAAAAGAATTCTCCTTGGCTTGTGAAGATTAAACCTGAGACAAGGCAGCTAAAGAGTTCTTTGTACCAGCTATGCAAATGAATTGTAGTAATGAATGAATGATCCTGAGGCTAATCAAAACAGGAATGTACATGAGGAAATATTCAGAGTAAATCACATGATGCCAGGGCAGCCCATACTTACTGTATCTCACATAATGAACAATGAGTCCAATGCACACTGCCAGGACAATCAGGGATATAAAGGAGATGAGTCCAATGACCCATGGCTTCAAACAATTTCTCCTCCTGGCCCTCATCACAGGAGACCTGAGAAAGAAAGCAAATAGACGGACTATATCACAGTGTATACTGCATCCACTCCTTAAGTAAAACAGATATTTCTGGGGGAATTCAGAACACTCAGTTAGATGGTAGAATACCATTTTTGTTGAGAACACACCCCAGTCCCAGGCTCCTGAAACCAATCTGGCTCTAGCTACCTGAACTTTCGCCAAGTAATTTGACTTCTCTGTGCCTTAGTTTCCTTGTCCATAAAATGAAGATAATAATGGTAGTACCTATCTCATAAGATTGTTGTAAAGATTAAATGAATTATTGCGTGTAAAGTGCCTACAACAGTGCCTAGCATGTAGAAAGCGCTATATGTTAGCTAGGATTTATTGAGCCGGCTATGTGCAAGACACTGATTTAGGCATTGTAGCAGCTATGAAAATGTTTAAAGCCTGTTTCTACCATTCTAGAATCTTAAAAGGCCTATTAAATGTGTTACAGTTTGAACTAGACCAGGTTCCAGATAAAGTTTCTAATTCAATCTCTTTCTATATTTCTGGTTTATTTCCAAACAAGCTTTGAGGATATATATAAGAGATAATGAGAGGTCTCTTCTAAAGAACCTGAATGTTTGAGCCAACATTTACCTCTAAACTTCAGTGATGCTGCAGGAAATCCCTTCTTCATGAGACTCCCCCAACCTCTCCCATTTGTTCTGCCTTCAAAACACGTTACTGAAAAATGTTGGTCAACCTGTTTTTGTTTGATTAGTAAAGTTAGTATTTCCTTGTGTTATAATTGCTAAGCAAACTCAAAAGCTAGAGAAAACAATAAGTCAGAGTTGGCTAAAGAATTTGAATATGATATATTTATCATACTGGTAGAATCAGTGGCATGTATTCATACTTCCAAAACACTGTCTGATATGTGGGAACCAGGGGTACAGTGTGTTGTTATCCTGGAGGAGCACTGAGAATTGAATCAGAATAAAGAGAATTCTGAGTCCGCTCTTTCCTTACCAGCTTGGACAAATCATTTAGATTCTGAGCTGAGTTTCTCTGTCAGTAAGAAACAAGATACCCATTCTGTCTAAAGCACAGAGTTGACTGTGGGACTCAGAATGAGATCATGAATGTGAAAACTTGCAAACTGCAAAGCATTTTGCAATAAATAATTCTTGCTTACAGAAATCAAGGGGACTCTGTTCCCTGGTGATATATGTCCAGAAAGTGATATTATTTTGGTCCCTGCCACACCATCATCACATCCTATTTCTGCCCCTATATTCTGTTCTGTAGGAACATTGTTGCAGAAGTCAATAGTGTCATCATCGCTACTTGACTCTGCCTGTGCTAAAGGCACTGGGATGTAGTGGAAGGCTCCTGGGACTCTACTTGGTCTCCTTAATTCTTCCTGTGACTTTCCCATAGGGTCATAGTCAAGGAAACCTCATCTTCCTCTCCCCAATCTCTTCTATCTCCAGTTCTCCCTTGAGTAAGATTCCAAACACCTGTTCCTAGAATGGCAATTACTACAATATAAAAAGACTTCTTTGGGAAAAGGTTATTTTTTTAATGTGTAAATGTGCCTAAGAAGCTTAAAAACTGACTCTTGTTTTTTCATCCCTGAATGCTTGCTATTCACCTGTTGCAGAAGAAAGGAGATGAACAGAGCAGACGTAAGCAAAACTTGGGGGGAAATATGAGAAGGGAAGGGCTTCTCACTAATATCAAAACATGCCAGATAAAGAACATGAATTTATAATTGTAGGAAACATAATATAATTATCAAAAGTATATTATGACTATGTAGAATTGTGAAATATAAGACAGAAGTTCTATTTGTTTTATGATAATTTTTAATCAAGAAAGGATAATAAAATAATGCAGCCACTAAATTGATGAGGTAGAGCTACATGTATTAACATGTACAAGGTTAATCATATATTTTAATAAAAGTGTTGTAGAATAATATTCATTCTGTGTCCAGTTTCTGTAAATAATAAAACTATATATACATAGCAAAATATAAAGAGACACAAAATTATAAACAATAGGATGCGGAATGAGAAACTTTAATTTTAATGTACTTTTTGTGTTATGCTGGATTTTTTCTAACAATAAACTTCATGGCTTTCAAATTAAACAAGAGAGAGATTGAGAGAGAGAAATGGAGAGAGAGATTGAATTTCAAAAGATAGAAAAATAACAAGAAAGATTATACACCTTTTTGTGGAGTTTCTATTATTATCACACCCAAAGTACCAGTGTGTCCTTCTTTCCTGACTCCTACCTTTTACAACTCTTTCAGTGATGCTCTTTGGTGGCTTTAAAGGAGATAAGAGGAATAGTATAGGACAAAGAGAAAAGAGAAACCATCAAAAAATACTTTGAATAAACAAGAGAGAACGTTGCTGAGTCCTGTCGCCAACTTATGTATTGCATAGTCTTATACCAGCAGATTCAATTATCTCTCTTATTTTTTTCCACATGAAAAACAGGGATAATAATCACAGACCCCTCCTAACCTGATGAGCTATGTAGAGATGAAACTAATAAGGTATTTTATTACATCGAGCTCCCAAGAAGAAAATCATTGTACAACTAGCAAGGACTATTATTATTATCATCATTATTTTAATGTTTAATAATAATGGTAATGACCACATTACTGAGATGTTTGTCATTTGAAATACTATCTCTTCCCTTCCCAGTCTGTATGACATTGCTTTTTGAACTGATTCACTCTGTTTCTTAATTACTTTTTTGTTGCTTTCTCAGCAAATGATTCAATACTGAATTGCTCCAAATGAGTGTAGCAGAAGTTACTCCAAAAAATTAGTAAAATAGAGGAATAAAACCATTTTATATATCAACATACACATGTAATTAACCCTCCTCTGCACATAAACCCTTGTCCAATCATCACTTCAGCCTGTTGAAATTTATCTGAAGCTCCTCATGTAAAATCAACTTCACATGGACTGGTTGAATTCTAATAGCTTCAATGGCATCAAATTGCTTTCTATTATTTACTTTTTCCATTTGGAGACATATGTGAGTAGACAGTGAACATAGCAGTGACTAGAGCAGTTAAAACACAGGTGCATGTATATAAGCCCCAAATTGCCAGAAGTCAAATTAAATGTGCAGAGTTACATTACCATTATCACTTTTTAATATGTCATTTTTAGAATAGTATTTAAAAAAAAAGAGCAACGACAGCAACAAAAAAGCAAGGGGAAAAAAGGCAATAACATAAACTTCTTGGCAGGCCCTGGAGAATAAGTCAAGACTCGCAGTCCTTCATGGAAAAATTTACCATGGACTAATTGATAGGGGATTATGAACTCTTTTCTGAGTCTCTGTAATGGTAAGCAGCACTGATATTCTTAGTTCACATGTTTCACGGGATCAGTCAACTGGGCTGTTCTGAATCAACTATATCTATATCTATATCTATAAATTTGGCGGTGCCAAAGCATTATAATCAATTACTTAAGCCAGAGGTCGGCAAACTTTTCTGTAAAAGTTTAAATAGTTACTGTTTTAGGCTTTCTGGGCCACACATTCTCTGCTGCAGCTACTCAACTCTGCCTCTGTAGTTGTATGATACATAAACAAATGAACATAGGTCCAATAAAACTTTATTTCTGTACCCTGAAATGTGAATTTAGTAAAATTTTTACTTATCATGAAATAATTTTCTTCTCTTGATTTGTTTTCAATCATTTAAAAGTATAAAAGCCATTCTTAGCTCAAGCACTGTGCAAAAACAGGTGGTGGGCCAGATTTGGCCTTTGGGCTGTAATTTCGTAATGGCTGACTTACCAGTAGCCTACAAGTCAATGCTAATTGTGTTGGGGAGCTATAAAGGCCTTTTCATTTTTTAGTCTCACTTTCATGGCAAAGTTAATGTAGTCTATCTCCAATCCCATTGCTACTAACCTTGTTCTGGCAATTCTTACCAAAACTTGTCCTATAGCTTCATAATAGATTTCTCTTCTGTCTCCTCAATCTCTAAATCATTCTCCATTACAGTAAGCTGTCTTTCTAGAAGTGATATAGTCTTTTGGTGAGACCGCTTGAACTTCAAGTCAGCCTCAGTTATTCCCTCTCTGTTCTACAAGTTTTCAAGCTCTTAGTCTCTGCTCCTGTTGCCTCCTATGTAGAGTAACTTAAAGTCTGTTCTTTGCCTGCATTATAAAAGCCTGTATGTATTTAAAAGCCAGATCAAAAAGTCCCCTTCACCTCAGTTAGGTCTATTCACCCTTGAGTATCATGTTGAAGTATGCATTTTGAGCTCCTTGGGAATAGGGTCTAAGCCTTACTTATCTCTATATTCTCTGACTGTGTGTTCAAGGGATGTTAGTAGAGAGAATTAAAGTTGACTGAACCAAACTGAACTGACCATTTCTCAGTACCACAGTATGGGTTTTAATCTCTCTCAAAGCACTTCTGGTCTGCCCTAGTTTTAGAAAAAAAACTGGAATATTACATACAACAAAAGACAGGCCAAACGTTGTGAAGAATAATTGCTATTTAAGTAAAGCCTGATTTTCATAAAACACTTTATATAATGATGAGACTTTATGGTTAACATTTTTATTTCATCTCTGTTTAAAATATATGATTTTCCAACTGTGATTCGACCTATCTACCATAAAGTGCTATCATAGTACAGAAAGTAACAAATGAAAATAAAGGGACATTAATTTCAGAAGAAATATATTATTTTGGGGGTCATTAAATGTCTGCATGTTACAATATTCAATAAATAAAGATATTACAATGAAGTAACAGCATAGTACCTTATGACATTGCTAATTCCCTGTTAGTACATAAGATTCAAATTTTAAATTAATGAATTTTATTCAGTTTTTATTTTGTGTTTGGCTCTAGCTTACTTCTTAGCTCAATGGACTGTGCTTCCTTGTCCTATCCACACAAATACTTCAGATGCTTTTTTTTTTGTGGAAGACTCATACCAGCAGGTATTAGTGAGATCTGCAATCTTTTTTATACTTTCTAGAATAA